TATATATATATATATATATATATATATATATATTTCGAATATATATATATATATATATATTAAGAAATGGACAAAGTCAGACAATTTATTTATTAAAGACATTTTTGTTTAACGTTCTTTTTTATAGATACAAGTATTTAAGTAAATGCTCTGTTTATAATAAACAGTATTAAATAAATATTAAATGTTATTTCTGAGATGAGGTATTGTAATTATTTACACTAGGCCGAAATGTCGTGAATATGACGACAAAGATTGAAGGCAACAGTCCGAACAATATAAATAGTGTATATAATTGGAATACTTCATTTCCGAATTATAGACAGACAGGTCCTAATGAAAGCTGTCTACAAACGTCGGGAAGATGCAAACGAAGGTTAACAGCTCGAACAATGTAAATAGCGTAAATATCTCTCGCTCTCTCTTTATATATATATATATATATATATATATATATATATATATATGCATGTGTGTGTGTGTATAGTATTTATCGGTAAAATCTCAAAAAAAGACTATATGTTCATCGTATATGTGATATTCTACATAACATCACATTGAACAATGGTATTTTACATAAAAGACATCTAACCACAATTTTGACAATAAATGTCAGTCTCATCAGAAGAGAAGAGGATTTCAGCCGGCAGAATCTCCGAGTTTCATGCAAAATGCAATCATCAGGTGCTGATTTACAAACTGCTATTATACATCGAGCACTTCTTTTTAACACCAGCACTTAGAGTGCAATATATATATATATATATATATATATATTTATATTTGCTTGCATATATATATATATATATATATATATATATATATATATATATAAATATATGGATATAGATCCGACAGTATGAAGAAAAATATACGGAAAAAACAAAACAAAAAATCCTTATATACAATTATGCTGTTTTAATGTTAATATGTCAACGTCGGACGTTTCGGTCTAATAAACCATCTTCAGGACATATTCATAAAATATAATTAACATTATCAATTCAACATGACAAAGACGATCTACATAAGAAAAAGATTTATCCAAACAGAATAACTGAAAGTTTTATAAGATCAGCGCTTCGTTTAAAACATGGTCACGTTGTCATCACGTGGGCGACGCTGTGAAAACGTATTCCTAAAATTCTTTTCATTTTTCATTCAAAATACTCAAATTTTAGGAATACGATGCTGCGATTAAGTCTTAATATTCTGTAATTCCGATATAGCCTTGTCTGAGGATCCTCTCCGCCCGGGGGTAGAAAGTTTGACTAGCACAGTTGGAAACGAATATCCAACTCAAGATCAACATACAGTATTTACTACTTTATTTATATGAATGGGGACAGACACATTATTTTCCGTAGGTATGCTACAACAAAAATTATATCTTTTTGTTAGGAAGGGTCTGGTTAGCAATTATCTATGAAATTTTTCGGACATTCAGGCCGGTAAATGTTGTTACTGTTGATTATAAAAAGAATATTTACTTAAATATTTGTATCTATAAAAGTAATGTAAAAACAATAAATATATTAAAAGAATTGCCGGATTTAGTTCATTTCATATATATATATATATATATATATATATATATATATATATATATATATTTTTCATTAAAGACGACAGACAAGGTACTGTGATTATGCTTTTTATCTAATATTTCTTCGATATAGGCTGTGAAGAAACTGTTCTGTAATTCCGAGCGCTTTCGACTATACTTAGAGCCATTATCAAAGATGAAATTTTTTTACTTTTCAGCTGTATGGGTTGTGTGTATGAATCTGGAGTTATAAGGATGTTTTATTTTTCGAACACTGTTAGCACATCGTGGTCGTGTTTGTAGTTAATATTACTGACTGTTGGTTTTTTTTATAAGGCTTCCATTATTCTTAATCCTTTTTACATGTGAATGAGGTTATTATGTTTGTATTTTCTACCAGTATGTTTCGGATGGAGTCTGATAAGTTTGTGTTTAAATGGATTCTAATAGAGATATAGTCAGATAGATGTAAAGTAAGGCGTCTGGATAGGTATGTAGTAGTGTGACCAATGTAATTCTTTATGAATTCAATTTGATCAAAAACAGTTCCTTAATGAGCATTTGAACTCATAAATAATATTCGTTCGTTGTAATTTTGATTTTGCAGGTGTGTTGTTATTTTTTATGATAACGTTAGGTATTTTTTAATTTTTTGTAATATTTAATTTAATTTTTCAACTAGGGTAGTGTATTTCTTTATGATATTTCTAAGTGAAAATTCATCTTGTTTATAGTTGATGTGCATTTGGCTTTTGTAGAAGATATTTATATTATAGTTTTTGTCTGTTCATTATCGTTATTTACTTTGGAAATGAATACTCTAATCTGGTGGTCGATGAGGTCGTTAGGAAAACCGTTGTTAACTGGCGTTTGTTGCGCATTGTTGCATTGTTGAAGTAAAAATAATATCATCCTTGATAATGGCTAAAAGTTTATCCGAAAGGGCTCGGAATTACGGAAAATTTGGAGCGTTTCTACACACTCTGTGCCCATAAAAGAAAGCACTTGTTGGAACACAAGAAAAATTAAACAAAAAGCTTAATCGCATTAAATTGTCTGCCGTCTTTAATGAAACATGTATAAAATAGGGGTGCTGCCTAAAACACAATACACACACACACACACACACACACATATATATATATATATATATATATACAGGATGAGAAGGATAAATTGTCGTCTCTTTTTATATATATTACCAAAATTACACAAAAATAGCTTAAGTAAATTTATTCAATAAAATCACCATTGGCTCCAACCACGGCCTCCAGATGACTTCGGAATCTACTGCAACTCTTCTGGATGGTGTCCTTGTTTAAGTTGTTGACTGCTACCATAATCTTTGCCTTCAGTTCATCTTTGGTTTTACAAGGAGTTTTATTGGTCTCTCGCTCAACTGTGCCCCACACATAATAATCAAGGTGGGTGCAGTCTAGGAAGTTAGGTGGTCAGATATAATGGGTGATGTGGTCGCAGAAATTGTTTATTAGACATCACTGGGTTCTCCGGCTTGTGTGGCATGGGGCATAGCCCTGCTGCCAGACTAAAGTCTTCCAGCAGCCACCATCTTGACCCAGGGCAGCAGTAATTCCTCAAAGCAGACCCAGAACTTGCTAACATGTTCGGTCAATGGTAACCTCAGCATCCTTCTGTAGAACCACATTTCTGTTGCTTTAAGTCTCTTCTTTATCTTTGAGGAGATTGTCCAGCATTCACTGATGGACAGATATCAAGTAAGAGTTCAGTACTCTTTTCTTTGTTTCTAACGAAATTTTCTGTCTCTTAATACTCTGCTTAGTTTTTGGAAGGCATCTTTGACCATCGCAATACATCTTTGGATTTCAGTGTCACAATTTCCGTCCTCTTTTAAAACATTCTCAGATATTTAAATTGTTGTACTTGTTTGATTTTGGCATATCCGGTTTGTAATTTGTATTTTGGGCTCTTCCTTTTGCTAACAACCATGCATTCTGTCTTCTTACAATTGATGCATAGTCCTTTCTTCTCGCTTTCCTTCACTACCTTCCGTAGGAGCTTTTGTATCTTTCTTTCCGTGTCTGCTGTCAACACTACATTATCTACATGTCTTAAGTTATTAAGATTGTGGCTGCCAATAATGAATCCTGGTAGGTCATCTAATTCGCTCAGAATCGATAAGGTGAATACATCTGGTGAGAAGACACAACCTTGTCTTACACATATATATATATATATATATATATATATACGCTGAACTCATTTTCTATTCATATTTAGGTGGTTTGCTGTCAGTATTGATTCTTGATTATTCTAATATCCTTCCCAAATATGTCAAGGTTGCTGAGCAGTCCTAACATATCTTTGTGGCGTTCTTTATCGAACACCTTTGCCTAATCTATAAATTAGAGGTACCCGTCTTTTTGAATTAGTATTACTCTTTCTGATAACATTCTGAGCATAAATATCTCGTTACTTGTTCCAGTTTCTTTGACGAACCCGCACTGTTCTTGCCTTATTTCTGGTTTAATTCTGCTGCGCACCCGATTTGTTGTAACCTAGAAAGTGTCATTGAATGAGGAATAACCAAAATGGAGGTTGGAAATGAAATGGTAATCTTTATAATATCAACAAAATACAATACTCGCCAGCGGCATGAAGTAGGTAAACCACTGTTAGTAGTGGACTACTTAGACAGCAGATCACCCCGATTTACAATAGTGACCAACGTATTTATGAGCATTGGGACATACCCAATAGTGTTTGTAGGTACGGTATATAACACTTTCTTTCTTTCTTTCTTTCTTCAAAGTTATTTTATTTATTTTCCTTTCATTTTTTCTTTCTTACATTTCTCTTTCTTTCTTTCTTCTTAAAATTTCCCCTTCTTTCTTTCTTTCTTTCTTTCTTTCTTTCTTTCTTTCTTTCTTCTTAAAATTTCCCCTCTTTCTTTCTTTCTTTCTTTCTTTCTTTCTTTCTTTCTTTCTTCTTAAAATTTCCCCTTCTTTCTTTCTTTCTTTCTTTCTTTCTTCTTAAAATTTCCCCTTCTTTCTTTCTTTCTTCTTAAAATTTCTCCTTCTTTCTTTCTTTCTTTCTTTCTTTCTTTCTTTCTTTCTTTCTTTCTTTCAGTCCTAACCTAGGAGGGTAACTAAATGAGAAATAACCAAAATGGAGGTTGGAAATGAAATGGTAATCTTTATAACATCAACAAAATAAAATACTCGCCAGCGGCGTGAAGTAGGTAAACCACTGCTAGTGGTGGACTACTTAAACACCAAAATGCCTCCCTCCACTTACAATACTGTTCAATGTATTTATAAGCATTGGTACATACTCATTAGTGTTCATAAGTACGGTATATAACACTGTTCATTAGAATTCAGATGATAAGTTTGGTTATATTGCTCATTAGGCTGATTATCCGATGTTGTTCACATTCGTTTGCACCCAACTTCTTAAGCAGTGCTATGAAAATAGATCTACTTAGGTCTTCCGATATATCACCACTGTTGTATATTTCATTTATTATTTTTGATATCTTGTCTATGCCGAAATCATCTAAGGTTGTCAGCATCTCTTACAATTCCGTCTGGCCCCGCCGTTTTGTTTCTGCTCAATTTGGTCAATGTAGATTCCACTTCAGGTTTTAATATTTCCAGTATGTCGATAGTTCTGTGAATTGCCGGGTTGGTTTCTTTCGTCGTGGAAGCGTTCTTCGATATATTGGTTCCATCTCCGAAGTATTTTTTCTGTTATGGTAATTTGCCCACGCACGCATGGACTCTCAAGGCTATAAATAAGAGCAGGTACGGTTTTTTGAAGTTCCCAGCAGTCAGCTCTGATAGTCAGATCGAACAATCTATCTATCTATCTATCTATCTATCTATCTATCTATCTATCTCGGTTTTTTTTTATCCATATCTATCTCTCTCATTGGTTTATATCAATCTTTGCGTCTATCTATCTATCTCTATCTATCTATCTCCGTTTTTTTTTATCTATCTCTATTGATTCATATCTATCTATCTATCTATCTCCGTTTTTTTTTTCATATCTATCATGTCTATCTCTATTGGTTCATATCTATCTATCTATCTATCTATCTATCTATCTATCTATCTATCTATCTCTTTTTTTTTCATGTTTATCTTTATTGGTTCATATCTATCTATCTATCTATCTTGGTTTATCTATCTATCTATCTCGTTTTTTTCATATCTATCTCTATTGGTTTATATCTATCTATCTATCTATCTATCTATCTTTCTATCTCTATCTTTTTTTTTTCATTTCTATCTCTATTGGTTTTTTTTCATATCTATCTATCTATCTATCTATCTATCTCCGTTTTTTTCATATCTATCTCTATTGATTCATATCTATCTATCTATCTCCGTTTTTTTCATGTCTCTCTCTCTATTGGTTTATATATCTATCTATCTATCTATCTATCTATCTATCTATCTCTGTTTTTTTTCATGTTTATCTTTATTGGTTCATATCTATCTATCTATCTATCTATCTATCTATCTATCTATCTATCTCCGTTTTTTTTCATATCTATCTCTATTGGTTTATATCTATCTATCTATCTATCTATCTATCTATCTATCTATCTATCTCGGTTTTTTTTTTCATATCTATCTCTATTGGTTTATATCTATCTATCTATCTATCTATCTATCTCCGTTTTTTTTTCATATCTATCTCTATTGATTCATATCTATCTATCTATCTCCGTTTTTTTTCATGTCTATCTCTATTGGTTCATATCTATCTATCTATCTATCTATCTATCTATCTATCTCTGTTTTTTTTCATGTTTATCTTTATTGGTTCATATCTATCTATCTATCTCCGTTTTTTTTCATATCTATCTCTATTGGTTTATATCTATCTATCTATCTATCTATCTATCTATCTATCTATCTATCTCGGTTTTTTTTTTCATATCTATCTCTATTGGTTTATATCTATCTATCTATCTATCTATCTCCGTTTTTTTTTCATATCTATCTCTATTGGTTTATATCTATCTATCTATCTCCGTTTTTTTTCATATCTATCTCTATTGGTTCATATCTATCTATCTATCTATCTATCTATCTATCTATTGGTTTTCATATATCTATCTATCTCTGTTTTTTTTCATGTTTATCTTTATTGGTTCATATCTATCTATCTATCCCTATTTTCCATCTATCTCCGTTTTTTTTCATATCTATCTCTATTGGTTCATATCTATCTATCTATCTATCTATCTATCTATCTATCTATCTATCTCTGTTTTTTTTCATGTCTGTCTTTATTGGTTCATATCTATCTATCTATCTATCTATCTATCTATCTCTGTTTTTTTTCATATCTATCTCTATTGGTTCATATCTATCTATCTATCTATCTATCTCTGTTTTTTTTCCATATCTATCTCTATTAGTTCATATCTATCTATCTATCTATCTATCTATCTATCTATCTATCGTTTGTATATGTTTGTATTACTGTTTCTGTTAATATATTTGTTTAACTCAATTCCTCTCTTTGTGTCAATATTTTTGGCCCTATCAAGGCCATAACATTTTCTTTCTCTACTATCAGCATTCCATCCTTGGATTTTACGCATCCTCTTGATGAGCATATCTTTTGTCCCATTCTGTTATTTTTTTCAGGCATATCTGCTTTATCTGAAATATTTATTCTTCCCAATTTCTGAAGAATTTTCGGTGAGCCATTCCTTTTTATCCTCTTGTATTGATTTCTTATTTCATTTTCTAATGTCCTATATTTTGTTCCCTGTCTTGCCAATGCTTTTTGTCTCCTTCTCATCATGTCGAAAATTTATCCATCCATTTTTTTTCCCCTTTCTTCGTCTATTTTCCTTTGGGTCGATCTCGATTGCTGATGCGACTAAAGCTTCTCTTAATGTGTCCTACTTCGAGACGCAGATGACACAGTACTGATAGCAGACACGGAAA